ACTTTATTATTTCTAGGGAAAATAATCATTAATTGGAAAACTATTCGCAACACTAAATAGAAAAGAAATCAAAACATACGTAAAACAAATACAAGTTCATTTGATAAGTATTTGTAATCAGAAAGATATGCTTACCATCATCAAGGCAAGTAAACTCTCATTGTTGTGCGTTGTGGCAGGAGGTTGTGAAAATCCCTTCAGATCCTCAGGAGCTCTAAAACGAAGACCCAACAGAAGGCTATAATTGATAATTTGCTGAGATTGTAGAAACATGCAGTCTAGTGATGTTTTTCTGCAAAACAAAGAGGAGGAAAGATTCCAAGGGATGATTAAAATGTGGAAGAGCTTACTCAGCCAATCCTTATTAACATTCTCTTTTTGGGGACACATGCATAATCGATAAACAGCAAATCTACGAGATGTGAACACACAATGTATTAATGATTGTAGATCTACATGTAGCGTTAAGACTTCATAAGAATATCAAGCTTGTTCCCGGAAGGAAAAAATACAGTACTGAAAAGTAGTGTTATAACTTATAAATAAAAAACGACGTCATAAATTGCAGAAACGTAAGAGAATTCTTATATCAAATCCATTTTGATCGAAAATCTAAAATTGACTTAAAGCTTATTGAACTGACTAATAACATTTGGAACATGTTTTATGTCACATCCCCATTCGGGCCCCCACCACATCTCGGCTCGACTCCACCGTAGCACGAAGCCAGTGAGCTTCCAAAATGCTTCGTGCTAGTTAGAGATGAAAATATACATATAAGGCTTACATGATCCACTCCCTTGGGTAATGTGGGATGCAACAATCCACCCCAGGCACACTTCCGCCCAGAGATTAGCTCTGATACCAAATTGTCACATCTAGGCCTGGGCTCCCACAACATCCCGAGCTCGACTCAACCGTAGCACGATATTATCCACTTTGGGCCCCGACCACACCCTCACGGTTTTGTTTCTGGGAACTCACACGAGAACTTCCCAGTGAGTCACCTATCCTGAGATTGCTCTCGTGCGAACTTGCTTAACTTCGGAGTTCCTACGGAACCCGAAACCAGTAAGCTCCCAAAAAGCTTCATGCTAGTTAGAGATGAAAATATACATATAAGGCTTACATGATCCACTCCCTTGGACGATGTGAGATGTAACTGACCTAAATCGAGGCATGCTAGCCGTCACGGTTTAGGCCGGGGTGTGTCATTTTACGTTTCATGTCTTAACGTTGAAAGTAAATAAACTAATCAACCACGGGAGATTTGAAGCATTTTAACTTACAAATCAACAAGGCAAATCATTGATTTCCGGGACTACACAGTTTCCATGTACCAAGACGCATGATACAAATTTACTGGTGAGGTTGAAATATCCCTCCAACCGGCTTGGCTCTTCCTCAAGGCAAGCTTTACAGGTCAGAATCCAAAGACAAGATGCAGAGGACTGGAAGAAGAAGCTAATGCAGGACCGACCGAGTATGTTATATTGCATAAGTTTATTAATCTTATGATCAATGAAGTTATTGCAGAGAGATTGTTACCGAAAAAAAAATGTTGTTCCAGAAGGATGCTTAAGCAATGAAAATCACTCACAGGTAATCACTAATACATTTTGTAAAATGTAATATATGAAATTCAAAAAACCGCAACAAATAAAAACTCGGAAGGACTTACTTAAAAAGTGGAGTAAAGTACAAAAAACTACCTCAACTATTGGGGTCACGACAGTTTCATACCTCATCTTTTAAAATTAACAATGTCATACCGCATCTTACGAATTTGTGACAATGTCATACCTCCGTCAATTTTTCTGTTAGTTTTTCTGTTAAATGCTGACGTGGCAAGAGACATGGACCACTTTCTATTAAAAAATTATTAAAAACTAAAAAAAATATTTAATATTTTTTAAATATTAAAATAATAAATAAAAGTAAAATAAAAAAAAAGGGTAAAGTACAAAAAACTACATCAACTATTGGGGTCAGGACAGTTTCATACCTCATCTTTTGAAATTGACAATATCATACCGCATCTTACGAATTTGTGACAATGTCATATCTTCGTCAATTTTTCTGTTAAGTACTGACGTGGCTTGATTCGGGATATACTTTCTATTAAAAAAATTATTAAAAACTTAAAAACAATTATTTAATATTTTTAAAATATCAAAATAATAATAAAAAGCAGAGAGAAAAAAAAGAAAAAAAAAACCATCAGTTCGTCCCTCCCCTCCCCCTCCCCCTCCTCTCTCTTCTCCCTATCTTCATTTTCTTTCCCCCACCTGCAAACCCAAAAAAATAAAAAATAAAAAAAAAAATTTTGAAAACCCAACAACCCCCTGCGGAAGAACAAGAAGGAGAAGGAGGAGGAGGAGGAAGAAGAAGAAGAAGAGGAAAAAAAGGAGGAAGGAAAAAAAAATAATTCCCCCTGTCGGCGCAGAAGAAGAAGAAGGGAGAAGGAGAAGGAGGAAGAAGAAGAAGAGGAAGAAAAGGAGGAGAGGAAGAAAAAATAAAAAAAAAATTTGAAAACCCATCAACACCCCCCTTGCGGAAGAAGAAGAAGGAGAAGGAGAAGGAGAACTAGGAAGAAGAATAAGAAGAGGAAAAAAAGGAGGAAGGAATTTTTTTTTTAAACCATCAACTCCCCTGCGGAAGAAGAAGAAGAAGAAGAAGAAGAAGAGGAGGAGGAAAAAAAGAAGGGAAAAAAAAATTTTGAAAACCCATCAAACCCCAAATCCACCACTTTCATCCATTCTCCACATTCTCTTCCGCACCCATCATCCACCTTCTCTGCTCACCTATCTTCCTGCCGACGAGATCTGGGGTTTTTTTTTTTTTTTTTTTTTTTTTTTTTTTTTCTGGGTTGCAGGAGGGAGAAGAGTAGGTGTGGGTGTGGGTGTGGGGAGAAGACAAATTGGATTTTTTTTTTTTTTTTGTTGAGATTTGCAGGTGGGGGAAGAAGATGAAGATGGGGAGAGGAGAGAGGAGGGAGGAGGGGGGGAGGGGAGGGACGAAATGAGGCTTTTTTTTCTGCTTTTTATTATTATTTTAATATTTAAAAAATATTAAATAATTGTTTTTCAGTTTTTAATAATTTTTTAATAGAAAGTAGGTCCCGAATCAAGTTACGTCAGTACTTAACAGAAAAACGAACAGAAAAATTGATGGAGGTATGACATTGTCACAATTTCGTAAGATGCGGTATGACATTGTCAATTTTAAAAGATGAGGTATGAAGCTGTCGTGACCCTAATAGTTGAGGTAGTTTTTTGTACTTTACCCTTTTTTTTTTAATTTTACTTTTATTTATTATTTTAATATTTAAAAAATATTAAATATTTTTTTTAGTTTTTAATAATATTTTATTAATTTTTTTAATAGAAAATGGTCCTTATCTCTTGCCACGTCAGCATTTAACAGAAAAGCTAACAGAAAAATTGACGGATGTATGACATTGTCACAAATTCGTAAGAAGCGGTATGACATTGTCAATTTTAAAAGATGAGATATGAAATTGTCATAATCCCAATAGTTGAGGTAGTTTTTTGTACTTTATCCTAAAAAGTGCTTCTCGCAACAGTTTGTCCATATGAATTTCAAATGTCAGATCGAGATCTTTCAATGTGGTATTCTCATCAATTTCATCTTTGTCCGTAAATCTTCCAATAGTTGAAGCCTTCAAATCATTACGGCAATGAATTCGTAATTCAATGCAAAACATATTTCCCATGACCATAAACCCTACCTAAAAACAATGCATTTAGAATAAGTCACACCAACCGAGGTGACATCCAATGCAGAACTGCAATCTGGCAGAGTGATAAGTAGCTCAAACCTTTTTTCCACCTTTTAACGTCATCCGATGGAGCCCAAATTTTTTTGTGACGAGGGTGTTTTCATGTTCGTCTACTTGGCTATTATTACTTTAGTTTAAGATAACAGTTAAATGTCTTATCTTTCCATCCATCCTTTTATGAAATTTTTAATTACAAAATTTGTCTATTTGTAAAATAACTAATAAGACCCTAGTAACCCCCTTTGCATTACTTTTTTTTTTTAATAAAAAAATGAAAAAGAAAAGTTTGGGAGTGATAACTCTCACGCTATGTTTAGACGATTTATCTCTCTTAAACCCTAACTCATCATTCTCATCTCTTTTCATTCAGAGAAAGCAAAATCATTCAAAGAGAGCAAAAAAAATGAACTTAGAAGATGACGTTTCTATGGAAGAAGTGGATGATTATGTTTCTGTCGAAGAGCAAAAAGATAATTTTATGTGGGTTATCTTGATTTGTTGACATCGTGCAATTGAATTATAGCTCTGTGACCTTTAATTTGAATTTTCATTAGGTTAGGGTGCAATTTGTTTCACGTTTTCCTATGAGAATTCTTGGAATTCGTTTTCATTAGGTTAGGGTAATAATTCAAGCAAGACATGTTTGTCACAACTGGCACTGATAATCGTCCAACTTGATGTGTTGTCTTTAAAACCTACACACAAATCCCCTTCTTTTTTTAAGAGAAAAGTTTATCTCTAATTATATATATATATATATATATATATATATTAAGGGTTATTTGAGGAATAATAGTGGGTGAGAAAATAACATTTTAATTTTTTAACTTTTTATAGTGGGTTTATCCCTAAATATAACATGAGTAGGGAAATAAGACAATGAAGTGAGTCTAGCAACTCTCTAGTCTAAATAGGGAAAAGGATGTCACTGTGCAATTTTGGGTTGATTTCACTTTCTTTACAAAATTACCACCAGGCTCATATTCTTAAGCTACAACACTTTAGTCTAAAGTAGGGGGAATGAATCCCCTCCTGAGCTTAGGAGGCTGAGCCTTCCGTGCAAATGATCCAGATCGCTGAAATTTGATCCAACGACTACAAACATAGAGTCTCTCTAAAAGTTATGATAATTGCAGCTGTTTGATCAAATTTCAACGATCCGGATCCTTTGCTCACGAGGCTCAACCTCTTAAGCTGAGGAAAGGATCTGTTCCCAAAGTAAGGGGAGTATAGCACTGTGCAATTTTGGGTTGCACTTTATTTACAAAATTACCACCACGCTGATATTCACAAGCTACCGTACAAATTTCCTGATTTTGATTTATTTACCAAATTGCCATTCTACAAGATTTTTTGCTTTGTTATGGATTTTCCAGTTCGGCTTGCATTCAAAGGGGCCCAGACAGAGGCCTAAAGGCCTGGACCAAAACGGCCCAGTCTTGAAGCAAGCAAAACTACTCTTTTGCTGCTTTAGATATCGGATTGGACGGACAGGGGTGAAGATTGTGGGGGTAGTTTTGTGATTGCATGTTTGGGGTTTGGGGCCATGTTGTCTGCTTTGTTCGATGGGATTGTGGGAGTGTTGTTGCAGACGAAGTTCTGGCCTGCACATAGAGAAGAAGAGAGAATGAGAAGTCTTGCAGACCTAGGTGCAGCAAAGCCAGCAGCGGTATGGGCTGCACCGAGAGAAGGAAGGGGAACATAAGGGTTGACAGGTTGGAGGGAGAGGTTCGCTGGGATTTAGGGGAGAGGATTTTCGGCAGGGAGGTGCGGGAAGGGGGACAAAGGGACATGGGTTTTCAGTTTTGTCCTTTGATTCAACAGGTAAAACACTGTTTTAAAATGCAGCCGGTTTACTTGACATTCTCCTCCACAGGCTTTTCTGAATGATGATACTGCTTTGGTTCAACTTGTATATTTGATGATCAGAATGGGTGAATCGTTTATCTACTGTTCACCAGTTTTGAAACTCGTTTGTTTGGATTAGAATACATTTTGAGGTATGTCTTAAAAGTATAAGCATATCTGTAGTGCCTTCGTCCTCATGAAGGTTAATTTGCCATTTATTCAGTTGGATAATGACAAGAGAGAAGGGGAGGGGGAGGGGTAAAATAAGGGAAGCAGTATACGTTAATTGGCATTTTATTTGTACTCAGGCGGCGGTTCCCCTCTTTATATGAGAGACCACTTGATTGCTTAACTTTTCTGCTCGTGCTCTCAGGCGGCAACAGGAAGCAGAATTGAAACTGCTAGAAGAAGAGACTTCAAGGAGAGTGGAAGAAGCAATTCTAGGAAGGTTGAGGAGAGCTTAAACTCTGATGAGATTAAAGTGGAAATACAGAGGCAGTTGGAGGAAGGACGGAAGAAGCTTCTTACTGAAGTGGCAGTGCAACTTGAGAAAGAAAAGGAAGCAGCTCCGGCAGTTCTCGATAACGTGAAGAATTCATCCCAAATTGAAGCCTTAATTGGAAAGCAACCTTCATTTGGTGGCGGAAGTCGAATCATTCTTACAACTAGAGATAAACAGTCATTACGTAGATGCATGATTTACCAGAGGATATGGGTTGCAAAATGGTACAACAGGAGTGTATTAAAGAGCTGGGGAGGCGCAGTAGGTTGTGGAGCTACGAAGACGTTTGTCATGCATTAACTCAAAAATACACAGTGAGATATATATTATATTCAACTTCGACCAAGAACCAATTCATGAGAAACATGCAATTCTTGGTTATCTAGTCTACGAAAGCAGTTGAAAGCATAATTGTGCTTTGGCCGCACTCAAACAATGTGGTGCAGCTTTTGTTAAAATGACAGAACTAAGTCCACTCATACTATTTACCAACAACAAGACGACTTGGACGCTGCTCAAGGACAAAGCAAGGATTTGAAGTTTATTTCTGGAAAGTTAAGTTGTCTATTCTGGCCTAATTGTCCCCTAAATCTTTGTCATCCGACTGTAACCCTAAGAATCTTGTTGACCTTGACACACACTATAGTCACATTCAACACCTATGGAAAGGAACTAAGAGAAGCTCTCTTAATCCTTCCATCCTTCCATATTTCCGACACTTTCCGGAAAGTCCTTGAAGAGAACTCTAGATTCTTCCAAGTAACATTGTTCAACTCAAGTCTCTTAAATTTCATAATCTTTCTAGTTGTTCAAAGCTTGAGGCCCTTCCAGAAAATGTCTGAAATATGGAAGGATTACGAGAGCTTTGCTTGGATGAGACGTCTGTTAGAGAGCTTCGCCCATCGATTTCATCTCTTGAAACAAATATATACACAAATACTCCAAGCAGTATACCAACCTGAAACTACCAGAACCATTCAGTTCTAGCATCTACAACTTTAACATTAGTTGGTACAAGGGACATTCTTCCGAAGCGGGAGAAGAAATCATTGAAGCTCTTATTTATTCCTCCTCTTGCTGTGTGCCAGACTTCCAAGATATTTTTCCTACCAAAGAAACTTAAAGATCAAACTCGCTAGCAATGGTGCACAAAGAGTGGCGGAAAAACATAAAGGGAAGCAATCTCAACACAACATGTACGAAGTAATCTGTCCACATATTGGGAAAGATTTTAAGGCGAGATGGATGTTAACCATGCAATGCTCTATAAACTTAAAGGCTGTATAGCAGCTCTTGCTTGTTTTAATGAATACTATGGTTTCACTTGGCGAGAAAGACTTCATTTACACAAATTCAGAGGGCTCGTCCACTGTAATTTGCAGATATAGAAACGTTAAGATAAAAGGAAATGCAAGCTACCTTTCACCCAAATTTGCAACAGGAATTGACACAGCAAAATCTTCACAGTTTCTGCACAAGCACAAATCAAAAGTATAAGAAAAGCAGGAAAAAAGCAATTGAAACCCCGCCAAACGCAAACGAAAAGATCGGCAACAAATGTATTCCATATGTAGAGATATTGAGTTTGGATTTTGATTACCAAGAAATTTGGGGGTTGGGGCGGAGTGGAGCCAAGACGGAGCTCTGTAGTGGATGCCGATGATGTTTTGGAGAGTGGTACACGTGTCAAAATGTCAGCATGTCATCATCAAAATCTACTAGATAACCCCACAATACTGAATCCTCACTGTTGACAGGAAATTGAGAAAGATTTGTGCACCCACTGAGATTAAGAGCTAAATGGTGCGCCAAGTTACTTAAAGTGTCGGGAAGATGTACAAGGCTTTTGCAATTTCTCAGATTTAATAGCACAAGCTGCTGAAGCCGTTCAATCGAGGGAGGAAGCTCTTTGATAGATGTTCCATCCAAATGAAGCTCTGTTAATCCTTCCATATTTTCTTCAATGCTTGGAAACACCTCAAAGTTTGTACAACCAGAAAGAGAGAGATAACATAGGGATTTAAGTTGACAAATGCTACTTGGAAGACTCTTAATTTCCTTGCAATCTTTTAGGACCAAATACCCCAACCCTGTGAGATTATTAATTGACGAGGGCAGCTCTTTAATTTTTGATCTGGAAAAATTAAGCGCTTGTAGTTTCTCCATAACTTCTAAAATCTCTGGAAACATCTCAAGACTCGAGCAGCCAGAAAGATCAAGGGTTACGAGAGATCTCATACGATTGATGCTTGGAAGACTCTTAAGTTCCTTGCAATCTTTCAGTTTTAAATATCTCAACCTCGTGAGATTATTAATTGATGACGGAAGTTCTTTAATTTTTGACCCGGATAACTTAAGTGCTTGTAGTTCCTCCATAACTTCTAAAACCTCCGGAAACATCTCAAGACTTGAGCAGCCAGAAAGATCAAGGGTTATGAGAGATCTCATATGATTGACGCTTGGAAGACTCTTGAGTTCCTTACAATCTTTTAGGTTCAAATATCTCAATCCCGTGAGATTATTAATTGACGAGGGCAGTTCTTTAATTTTTGACCCAGATAAATTAAGCTCAAGTAGTTCCTCCATAACTTCTAAAATCTCTGGAAACATTTCAAGACTCAAGTAGATAGAAAGATCAAGCGTTATGAGAGATCTCATATGAATGAGGCTTGGAAGACTCTTGAGTTCCATGCAATATTTTAGGTTCAAATACCTCAATCCCGTGAGATTATTAATTGACGAGGGCAGTTCTTTAATTTTTGATCCGGATAAATCAAGCTCTGGTAGTTCCTCCATAACTTCTAAAATCTCTGGAAACATCTCAAGACTCGAGCAACCAGAAAGATCAAGGGTTTTGAGAGATTTCATACGAATGCTAGGAAGGCTCTTAAGTTCCTTGCAATCTTTTAGTTTCAAATATCTCAACCTCGTGAGATTATTAATTGACGAGGGCAGCTCTTTAATTTTTGACTGGGATAAATTAAGCTCTTGTAGTTCCTCCATAACTTCTAAAATCTCTGGAAACATCTCAAGACTTGAGCACCTAGAAAGATCAAGGGTTTCAAGAGATTGCATACGAATGTTGCTGGCTAGAATCGTAAGTTTGTTGCACCCACTCAGATCCAATAAAACAAGGTTTGTAAGAGTCAAAATAGATGGGTGAACCTCAACCAAACTTATACAACTTGCACAAATTAGCCTCTCAAGATTTGGCACCTTTGTAAAGTCAGGCGTTTCCTTAAGGTATTCACAATATCTTAAATTGATGAATTTCAACTTTCCCAGCGTCTGCTAAAACATTCATGAAAACAAGCATTACTTGGTAAGACATCTCAATCAGAACCCAAACATTTAAAAGAAACATACACATGTAAATGGTGATTGTAGGTACCTGTGTTCCTTCCCAAAGTTGTTCAATGCGACTATATTGCATGTCAAGGTCAACAAGATTTTTGAATTGAAAGTTGGATGGCAAAGACTTAAGGGGGGATCCAGGCCAGGAAAGACACCTCAACTCATGAGAAAGAAACTTTAAGTGCCCAATCAGGTGTTGTTTGCCGTAAGAATGACTGATCCTGAGAAGTCTTAGTTGAGTCATACTATCAAAAGCTTCAGCATTTAAGCATACCTCATCTGAGTTCGACAAATCCAGGATTATGCTTTCAACTGCTTCTGTACCCTGTGCAAATCAAAGTGAAGGAAAAAACAGAGAACCTTTGTTTAGATTATGAAGTTAATGCTTGTTTCTTAAGGAGCCATTTTATAATCATTTCGTTCTAATTATTTTTTTAGAAATCTGAAAATTGAAACACATAACTTGTTTGGTAATGGTTTTCAATTTTCAATTATTAAAAAAAAAATCAAAACTAAAAATTAAAAATTGTAAACAAAATCGTTACCAAACGGGCCTAAGAAATAGATTTGATCAAAAGTTGAAGCTTTCTACTAAACATTGCATAAGAAAATGATTTCTCACCGTATTTTGAGTTAGCACATGATGAACATCTCCATAACTCCACAACCTGCTTCGTCTCCCTGGCTCTTTGATAGATTCTTGGCGAACTATTTCCCGACCCATTTCCTGTAGTGAATCATGCATCTCCAGTTCCCCCCTCCATGAGACAGTTATGAGAGCTCGATCAATTAGAACTCTTATACCAGTATGAGGATAGAAACCACAACCGTCCATAATTTCAATTGCATAGTCCTTTTGCATTCCTTTAAAGAAACATGCAATATCTAGAAAGATGTCCTTCTTTGTGTCATCTAGTCCATCGAAGCTTGTTTTAAGCACATCATGAATTTCCCTTTGTGGGATATTCCTTATCTTTTCTAACACATCTTCCCACTCGCGTACAGTTTTGTTATCAAGAAAAGCTCCCAAGACTTTGAGTGCTAAAGGCAGACCTTGAGCATATTGTATGACACACCACGAAAGATAATCATAATCTCTGGTGGGTTGGCTTGTTCTGAAGGCATACCGCTTAAAGAGTTCCAGAGCTCCAGCACCACATAAAATCTTGGGGCTATATATCGCATTAGCTCTGCTTAGTAATTGCACATCTCTAGTTGTTATAATGATTCTACTTCCACCACCAAAAGAATGTTCCTTTCCGAGTAAGGCTTCAACTTGAGCTAATTTGTCTATATCATCAACAACAACAAGAACTTTTTTGTGACCAAGGCTTTTTAACATCACGTGGAAACCTTTTTTCAATATGTCGGAACTCCCTACCTTGTTGCCCGAGATACTAGATAGAAGTTGTGTCTGCATATGTAGTTCACCATGCTTCATGAAACCCTCCTTAACATTTGCAAGAAAGCAACAAGCTTCAAATCGACAAGCGATTTCGTCGTAAACAGCTCTAGCGATGGTTGTTTTGCCTAAACCACCCATACCCCATATTCCAACAACACGAACATCATCCAACTCCACCCCAGAAGGATCAGGATGTAATAATAAATGCATTTCGTGCATATGAGAATCCATTTCAACCAAGCCATTATCTTTGCGTGGTGTTGATGAAATGTGGATCAATTTTCTAAAAACATCTTCCACAATTTCCTCAATAAGCTTTGCATCCTCCCTGTCAAATTAATAAATAAATAAATAACAATATAATAACAACATCAAATAACAAGTTTTCATCTGCTAGTTTAAAAAAATATGAAAAATGAAAAGTAAAAACATAAAACAATAACCCTAAAGCCTACAAAAATCTCAAAATTAATAGGAAACTAAAACAAATTAGAATTTACTCATAGTTTCGCGAATCCCAGCCGGATAAACTGGTGGCAGTTGTAAGAGCGGATCTCCAGCTCTGAACCTCTTCCATTTCGGCGTTAGAATCGTGATCGTGCTGAACAAAAGCTTCACCGAATCTACTCTTGAGTTTACGAACATCAGACGGATCAACTTCGTAGAAAATAGGGAGTACAATCTGTTCCTTGGTAGCCTTGCATTTCAAGATTTCCACGAGTTCCTTCAAGCACCAAGTGGAAGAAGCATAGTTTTGAGAGAAAACAACAATCGAAAGCCTTGACTCTCGAATCGCTGTCAGGAGCTCGGAAAGGTGGTCGCCTTTTCTGATCTCTTGGGCATCGATGAAGGTGTTGATTGATTTCTGACGCAGAGCTCTGTCAAGATGGTTGACGAAGTCCTTGCGAGTGTCTTCCCCTCTGAAATTGATGAACACATCGTATTTCCATTGACGGCCAGAAGAAGAAGAAGCAGCCATTGATCGATCGCACCTGGTCACCGATGAGCATCAAAGATGAAGAGGATTTTAAGAACAGAAACACTCGATTGACCTGCAAATTGGAGGGAAAGGGGAATAGGAAAGGAATGCTTTATGTTTTTCGCATCTTCTTCCAAGAAACAACGGTGTCGGTCAAAGAGAAGCAGATGCTCAAATTTCACTTTGTGGAACGGGTTCGCACACTGGTGCGATTTGGAAAATTACAAGGCCTAGGCCCACGAGCATTCACGGATTGTAGTTTTCTCGTCTTCTCTTAATAATTTTGTATAATTACTTGCCCAATGTTTATACCTATCTCTCTAATAGAGGTAGGGCACGTCAAATCATGTAAGTTCTTTCTTTATTAGAAAAATGATACAAATGATGATATACATAAGTAGTAAGAGTCTTTTGTTCTTTCATACTCATTTCTTATGCCTAATTTTTTTAAACTACCTATCATATTGTAATAAATTTAAAATTTGGTACCAAATTATAATTTTATTACAGAGATCGTTTTTCTGGTTGTTCAAAGTTCGAATAGGGGTGGTGATAGATAGAGAAGAGGAGATGGAGATGGAAGTGGTTGCTCGAGTGGGAGGGGAAGAACAAGATGAACACTCTTTGTTTTTTTCTATCAATAATTTTTTTTTCCAAAGTACTAATTAAATTTTTTTAATTATTTTTTCACGTGGCACAAAAGTGTCAACCACTTCAGTACAAATATGTACCCTATATTTTCCATTCATTATTTCATGGTTAATTAAACAGAATTTCTATTGGATGTATGATATTGAAATGAAATGATAAGTAATATGACATTGAAATGTTTTCAAGATGTTGTAAGCGGTTGTAATTAACCTCCAACTTGATGAGGTAAGCTCTCAGCTTTTCTCTCCTTGTGAGAGCCCTTCTCAATAGTGTTTGAGGGTTCTCCATTTCGTCCCTCATGTAGCCGCCAACCCTGATTATGGCCAGGATTGGTGGCAGTCCTCTTCTTTTCCTTTTCCACTTTTCTTTTCCTTTCCTTCACCCTGAGCTTATGTTTCCCGCTCTCCAAGGGCATGATAGCCACTTTCTTCCAACTTCTTGTGCCCCTGATTTCTCTGTCTGTAACCCATTTTTCCCTAGTTTCCTTCCTTTCTTCCACTTCTTTTCCACTTTTCCCCTTTTTTTCTCCCTTCCCCCCCTTCCACTTTCCTTCTTCCTTCCTTCTACTTATTTTTCCCTTTTTGTCATTTTGTCATTTCTTCCTTTTGCCCTTTCTTTGCATCTTCTTTCCATCTTTTTCTCATTTTTCTTCCACTTTCCTTTGCTCTTTACTCCATATTCCACCCAATCAGCCCCATTATTCTTCGACTTCACATCCTGGTTTGGCTTCTCCATCTTTGTACTGCGATTTTTCTTGTTTTACTAGGAAGGTGTGTAGAGTTTTCACTCGGGTGTTCACATCACCACTTTCCTTGGGATTTCCCTTGATGGTGTAACAATCCGTCCCGGGATTTACGTAAGAAAATGGGTTTTTTTGTATTTTTCACTAAGTTTGGGGGATACCTTCCTTTTTAAAATTGTTTTTGAGTCTTAATTGGTGAGCCCAAGAGGCCCACCCCCCTGTTTTGTTCCCCCGGTTCCTTCCTTTTCCCTTCTCTTTTATTGTTTTCTGAAAAGTCTCTTTCTTTTCCCTCACTCTCTCTCTTCTCTACCCGTGCTCTCTCCTTTTCCCCCTCTCGGTGCTCTTTTCTCCGACAAGAACACACACACACACACACACACACACCCATGCCCACACCTATAGCTCTTTTCTAACCCCGTGGTTATGTTTTGGATGTCAAATCACGAAGAAACCACCTCAGAAACATTTCCCAGTTTCCGGCAAGCACCGCCCCTTTCGAGGCAATTTTCGGACAAACCACTGCGAGTTGGCCGGCGTGCAAGGTATCAATCTCTTCGTCTCGCTGAGTACTACAACTTTCCTTTTTGTTTCACCCAATTTCATTAAGTATTGAAGAAGTTATACTCATTTGAATCTTACCCAGTTTCCGGCAGACACCCGTGGCTTCCAGGCTATTTTTCGGCCAACTCCGGCCACGATGTTGGGAACCAAGGGTATATTTCGATTCCTTACCTTCGGGGCTTCATTTTGGTATATTGAATGACATGTTTTGGTTGAGTTTTGAGCTCCAACGGAGCTTGGGAATTCTCCGGCCGAAAACCGGCCTTCTCCCTCCTTGGAATCCGGCGACCACCAAACCCAAAGGCCTTAGTGACACGCCCCGACCCCGATATTCCCCTAATACCAGGATAGGCACGTGCTGGCCGACACCTGAGGGTGACGAAAGCCATTTATTGAGTGCAAATGCTGAAAACAAAGGATATATAAGGCTTATAAATATAAAAGAATAATTAATATGGAAATAAGGACCGTGTTCAGAGCACACCACTAATATAGAACACTAAAAGAAAATAATATAAAATTGAATGAAACAAATAATGGGTCCTACACCGAGAGGACTCGAAGATGCCGATGCGGAAGTGCCTGGACGTCGGGATTGTATGCCTCGATTCTAAGTCCTGAAGGGGGCGCAAAACAAACATGAGTGGACCAAGTTGATATATATATAATAAAACAGTTATCAACGTACTAACCCCCAAGTTTTTATGAAAACACAAATATAATGATAAACATAGGTTTTCTGAAACCTAGCATGTCGTGCAATATCTCAAATCATAACATGTAAATATCATAAACACTAGTGAATGTCCGATACAACTCTCCAGGCCCCATGCCGGCTCCCCGTCTCTGAGCACACAGTCAGAGGAAAATACACTTCAGGCCCCATGCTGGCTCCCCGTCTCTGAGCAGACAGTCAGAGGAAAACACACTCCAGGCCCTATGCCAACACCAAACCGTCGCCCGGGACAGACCGGATCTATCCCTACGTCCCGTAGCGGAAAGGACCACTAGGTAAGTACAAAACCAGTGAACATACATATATTTGAAAATCAACTTCATAGTATAAAGTCATCCATCATCTATACTATAAAGAGGTGTTCTAAACATGTTCTAAATATCATATCGTCATCCATCAGATATTCTACAAGAACATGGGTTATAGGAAAAATAGTAATAATTCAAACTAGCCTCAGTAAGCATGTTGTCTCGTAAAACGTTTCATAAAACATAATCATCAAATCATGCTTTTCATGTATGCATTTATACTATCAAAACATGCATTTTTAGAAGGGGTCCACTCACAGTACTTCGCCGTCGAAAAGTCACGCCATCTAGCAAAGAAGGAAACGCCACAGATAATCGCCCCTAAGCACATAAACAGTACATTTAGTCAAACTCTACTCAAACGATTAAATTTGGGAAAACGGATATCGAAAACGGGTTCAGAACATCGAAATTAGCCTAGGAGGGGTCCTGCACGAAAACCCAAAAAGTCAACCCCGAGGTCAAAGTCAACGCCGACCGTTGATTGGGTCAACGGTCAACGGTCAGGGTCAACGGTCAGCGTTGACTTTGACCTCGGGGTTGACTTTTTGGGTTTTTGTACGGGACCCCTCTTAGGCTAATTTCGACTTTCTGAACCTGTTTCCGATGTCCGTTTTCCCAAATTTAATCGTTTCAGTAGAGTTTGACTAAATGTACCGTTTATGTGCTTAGGGGCGATTATCTGTGGCGTTTCCTTCTTTGCTAGATGGCGTGGCTTTTCGACGGCGAAGTACTGTGAGTGGACCCCTTCTAAAAATGCATGTTTTGATAGTATAAATGCATACATGAAATGATGAAAAGCATGATTTGATGATTATGTTTTATGAAACGTTTTACGAGACAACATGCTTACTGAGGCTAGTTTGAATTATTACTTTTTTTCCTATAACCCATGTTCTTGTAGAATATCTGATGGATGACGATATGATATTTAGAACATGTTTAGAACACCTCTTTATAGTATAGATGATGGATGACTTAATACTATGAAGTTGATTTTCAAATATATGTATGTTCACTGGTTTTGTACTTACCTAGTGGTCCTTTCCACTACGGGACGTAGGGATAGATCTGGTCCGTCCCGGGCGACGGTTTGGTGTTCGCATAGGGCCTGGAGTGTGTTTTCCTCTGACTGTCTGCTCAGAGACGGGGAGCCGGCATGGGGCCTGAAGTGTATTTTCCTCTGACTGTGTGCTCAGAGACGGGGAGCCGGCATGGGGCCTGGAGAGTTGTATCGGACATTCACTAGTGTTTATGATATTTACATGTTATGATTTGAGATATTGCACGACATGCTAGGTTTCGGAAAACCTATGTTTATCATTATATTTGTGTTTTCATAAAAACTTGGGGGTTAGTACGTTGATAACTGTTTTATTATATATATATATCAACTTGGTCCACTCATGTTTGTTTTGCGCCCCCTTCAGGACTTAGAATCGAGGCATACAATCCCGATGTCCAGGCACTTCCGCATCGGCATCTTCGAGTCCTCTCGGTGTATGACCCACTATTTGTTTCATTCAATTTTATATTATTTTCTTTTAGTGTTCTAGATTAGTGGTGTGCTCTGAACACGGTCCTTATTTCCATATTAATTATTCTTTTATATTTATAAGCCTTATATATCCTTTGTTTTCAGCATTTGCACTCAATAAATGGCTTTCGTCACCCTCGGGTGTCGGCCAGCACGTGCCTATCCTGGTATTCGGGGAATATCGGGATCGGGGCGTGTCACTTAGGGCCCTGGTTGCAAGCCCAAACCCATTACCCTTTTAATTGGGCCATTAGGTCGTGAGGTTTCAAACCCAAACCCACTTTCCTTCTAACCCAAACCCAACCCACCTAAAACCTAAACCCAATTACCCTAACCCAAACCCTAAAGCCCAAACGTGTGACCCTGACCCATTGACCCTTGACCGGTTGACCACTAACCCGGTCAACGCAGCGTTGACTTTGACTTTGACCAGTCAACGGTCAACGTTGTCTTTGACCGTTGACTTTTTGGGTTTTCGTGCGGGACCCCTCTTAGGCTAATTTCGATGTCTTGAACCCGTTTTCGAAATCCGTTTTCCCAAATTCAATCATTTGAGTAGAGTTTGACTAAATGTACCATTTATGTGCTTAGGGGCGTTTATCTGTGGTGTTTCCTTCTTCGCTTG